AAAAAAAAAAAAAGGGAAGAGTAAAAAATACCATTATTATTATTATTATACAGAAACCATGCCGTTGCCACCTCTTGAAGAAGCTCCACGCTCCATGACGAGACGCAATCATCTCGTCGAACGTAATCGTCTACGTGTGCAGGCGTACGCCCCAACAAGGAAAGAATTGGAAGATGAAGAGATACGCATTGCCCAACAACGACAGGAACAACGTGCAAAGATGTTAGATAGCTGGAAAAGTCAAACCAATTACGATGCCGATCAAACACGTCCTCTTCCAGGCGGTGGTCCACGTTCCAAACGTATGAAGGAAGCAGCCGCTATTAAAAATCCAAATTATTATCAAATCGTCAAACAAGAAGATGCCCAACTGAAATCTGAACGTCTTGCCTCTTATAAAGCCGATATGTTGCAGCAATTAAAAGAACGAGAGGAATTCCTGCGTAAATGTAGAGAAGAAGAAAAGGCATCTAATGATGCACTTGTAAAGATTAATAAGGATCATGCACGTGAGATGGAAGCTCAAGAACGTGCGGATGCTCGTGCGATGAAAGAATACATGGATCGTGTACGCGAAAGTAATCTTCGTGAGTTGGAGCAAAAACGTGAAAAGGAACAACAACGAGAGGCGTATGAACTCTCCGCTCTTCGCACATTACAACAACGTCAAAAGGAACAGGCGGAAATAGAAGAACGTCGGGCCAGAGATGTGAAACGATATATGCAGTTGGAGAATGAAGAAAATCATCGTATCTTTAAAGGCAAACAAAAAGAAAATAAAGCACGTGAAGAGGCAGAGTTAAAGGCAATGGTGGAATATGATGCCGCCCTTGCAGAACAGGAAAGACGAGAACAATTGCAAAAAAGACAACAATTTAAAGCTGAGTTTGAGGAAAGTATTGCAAAACAAAAGGAATTCCAACGAACGCATAATTATGATGAACCTTTGGAATCTATTCGTATGCGGAATGAAAAGGCTGCAGCTGATTTGGCTCTTATTAAACAAGAAGAACGACTTCGCGCATCTGAACAGAGACGGGAATACCGTAATGAACTCATGCAGCAAATACGTGAGAAACAGGAATGGCAGTTATCACACTTAGATGGTGTGTAGATGTGTATTTCATTATCTTCTTATTCTTCTTTACTGTTGATATTTGGATGTTGATGTTGTTGGTTCTACTTGTTTGTTTGTTTGTTTGTTGTCGTCGTGTCTTCTTTGTTTGTTTTGTTTGATTTTTTCTGTCCCTTTTTTTTTTTGTTATTTGATTTGACTACTCTTTTGCTTGTTTCTTTTTTTTTTGTATTTTCTTTCTTTTTCTTTCTTTCTTTTCTTGCCTCTGCGGTGAAAAGAAGGAAGAAAAGAAGGAAAATAAATAATAAAAAAAGAGATGGAGAGGAAGAGGGTTGTATTATGTATATCTTTCTTTTTCTTTGTTTCTGTTGTTTATTTACTTGTACGATGTATTTAGATATCATACATTTCCACTTCAATCAATCAATCAATATATATTTCTATATATATATATATATCAATCATTTTTTTGTTCTTTTCTTTCTCTGGTTATATCATCTCATTTTTTATTTTTCCTTTATTATATCTCAAACATTCCTATATAAACTGACATACTTGATACTATTATATAAAAGAGGAGGAAAGGGAAAAGAAAGAAAGAGAGAGAATAAATAAGAAGAAGAAAATGAAAGTAGATGAATATCTTTCTTTATTTTCCTTCTTATATCTACTCTTTTCTATTCTCTTTTCCCTTCTTTTCTCTTCTTTTCCTTATACATCTCCTGGTGTATGGGGAATAGAAGAACAATATATCAATATAGTCAGTAAGGAAAATAGGAGTGAACCTCAGAAGAAGAAGAAAAAGGAAAACAAATAATAAAAAAAAAGTATATAAAAGAAATGATCCAAAGAAATGAAAGAATGTGAATGGTTTCACGCGTATATCCGGGATGGCATTAAATAAACAAAAAAATGCCTTTCCCTTGTTTTTTGTTTTTGTTTTTGTATAGACTGGAAACTAAAAAGGGGATAGAAGAGAAAGAAAAAAAAATATAAAAAAAGAGAGAGGAAATACCAAGAGAAAGAATGTATGGAAGAAATGGGGGGAAAAAAAAGATGTAGTGGTTTTCTCATGGAGTTTATTTCCGATGTATTTCTTCTTCTTGTATATATGTACATAAATATATATGGATTATCTTTCTTTATATATATATATATATATATATATATATATGCACTTTTGTTTCTTGCGTTTGACTTTTTTTTACGCATTTTGTATTTCTCATTCTTCTTTTTTTCTTCTTCTATGAAAAATAAAAGAAGGAAGTATCGACATATATTTATTTTTATTTAGAAAGAAAGAGAGAGAGAGAGAGGTCCCACAGGAGTGAATAGCGGGATAGGTGTGTGGTGCCTACCGCTGGATTCTCATTTGTCTGTGTGAAATGGGCTCCGATGATGATGATGCTGATAATAATAATAGTAATAATAATAATGATGATGATCTTGATAAACTGGTAGCCGCACAGTTAATAAGATCCCGCACAGCCACTAATGTAGGAAATCCAACACCTACACGAACAACAACAACAGCAGCAGTAAAAACTATGAATACTTCAGCTGACAGTGATGATGAGTTAGATGCCTTAATTCATGAGGCACTAGCAGGTGTGGCCATAACACCAATAGCGAAAAAAACAGCAGTAAGAACAGAGAAATCCAACAAGAATAATTCCCATCCATCTCAACAAGAAGAAAACACTAAAATAGATGATGGTGGTATGATGAGTACAAGAAAAGAAAATAAAATGAAAATGAGTATAAAGACAACGAAGGCAGTTGTTACGGAAACCTCACCTGTAGTAGTAGTAAAAGAAGATATGGATCTTCACAGTGATGGGAGTAATAGTGAGAATAGTAATAGTAGTGGTGAAGATATACTGCAGGCTGTTCTCGCTGGTCATGGTTTACCACCATTGGAAAATATAGAAACTATACATACATCCAATAGGCAAGCATTTAAACATTTCCCCTCACATCATCATGAATCCATCACAGTTCATAATAGTATGGAGAAAAAAAATGAGAATACAAAAAAAGAGAAAGATGATGATGATGATGATGATGATGATGAAAAGGAAGAGGAACATTTATTAATGGAAACTCTTTCCAATCTAGTTCATCCACCAGTGCAGTTTGTTTCTAAAAATCGAAGGCAAAATAATTCTACGCCTTTGCAAGAACTCTCAAAGGAAGAAGTTCACAGTAGTAATAGTATTGGTAAATGTAGGAATAGTGATGAAGATAGTAAAGGTATTGGAATGGCTAACCAAACATCTCATCATACTACTAGTGCGAGTAAAGAAGTTATTTCACATTCTAAAAAGGAGAATACTTCTAAATCTAATTCTACTACTACTTCTACTTCTTCTAGTAAAAAACCAAGAAGTGGACAAAGTGAAACGCATACAAAGTCTCTTCATGCCTTTCACGATTTAGAAGATGAGAAACAAATTCTTAATGCTATTTTAAATGCAGTACAAGACCGTCAATCAAGTGTGAGTGGAGACTTAATATATGAAGATGAAGAAAAAGGAAATGGAAATGGAAATGGATATAATGTAGAGACTATTTTACAACATGCGGAAGATATCGCCGCCGCTTCTCTTCGTGGAGAAAATGGAAAAGAATCTCACATTATGCATCTTCACGAACATGTGGAAATGCGTGAGGAGCTGCGAAAGGCAAGAGGATCTGTAGGATGGCCATCATGTGTGTGTGGACGGACAACAATAGCGACAGAAACTATTTTAGGTGTTGAAAAGGAATCCACCGTAATGAAAACTTCTTCTAATTCTTCTAATTCTTTATCAAAAAGACCAACTCTTTGTATTGGAACAACACTTGGCGTTATTTTACTTTTTAATGAAAAAACAAAAATGTGTGGTATGTGTGGATCTGTTGAGGCCTCCATTGTAGAGATGCGTGGAGCTGTGGTATCTCTTTCCATGTCTTTTGATGCTTTAACGGTTTTTTCTGGTCATGAACGGGGAACTTTAATTCTATGGGATATTAATTCACTCACCGCATTACGTGAAATTTCAGATGAATATAATTCACCTATTACACGACTTCGTCATTGTGGAATGGATACTTCTCGTGTGATTGTTTTAAGTAGTAATGGTAGTGTGAAATTACTTTCCTTTACACGGATAATATCTAAAATGGTATATCGTTTAACCAATATCGCCGTTTCTGTTCCAGAAGCTCCATTTAATGATATAGATATTATTTTTCTTAAAGGTGAAGGATTATATCTAGTCGCTGCAGTCTCTGCAGATACTTTACTCTTATCTGCATTAGATTGTGGTTTACAAACCATCGTTACGCCTATAATGCGGCGAACTCGACCTCCTAAATCTGCTCGAATACAAGAATTATTACAATTTGTTTCTGTAAATGTGGAAGATCGTATTCTTTTATGTGTAGCTTGGGGTGCAGATGTGGAAATATTTACCATTGCACTTGGTGGGATATTAACAGAACTTCATCGAGTCGCCAGTGTTCGTCTGGAAAGACCTTTACATGCAATGACACCTATTATGGGATCTTGTTTAGTTTTAATGGATCAAAATGAATCTTTACATTTATTAGATGTAAGTGTAGGGGTAATTGTGGAAACACGTCCTTTACATGGTGTAGATCCTGTCATGTTTTCTAGTCGAAGTTGTGGAATGCGGTTTAATGCCGCACTTACACAAAGTGGAAATCGTGCTATTCTGCTTGGACGTCGTCGAGCTTTCACATGTACATTACTTCCATGGAATGTTCGTTTAGATCTCTTAGTTCGTCAAGAACGATATGTGGAAGCTTTGGAACTTGCCAAGGCATTTGCATTGGAAGTGGCTTTAGCAGTTGTTGGACTTCAAAGTGATCCTGTTCTTCGTCGTGAAAGTATTCATCTTTATTTAGTGGGTCTAATTAAAGATTATCTTTCACATCTTATGAATAATAATAATAATAATAATAATAATAATAATAATAATAATAATAATAATAATAATAATAATAATAATAATAATAAGAATTATTTCTCACGTGAGGAGGTAATGGTGGTAAAGAGTATTACAGATATTATTCAATTTTGTGCCGATATTGATGCGATGAATGTTTTCTTTGGTCCTGCAATGGAATTTCTTCGTCAAATCACAAAATCAGATGCTCTTGCACTTTATTGTCTGGAAGGTTGTATCTTAGCAGGAACCGTTACAACTTTACCAGAGATGTATATTCAACCTTTTTTTAATCTTTTTGCTCATGATGAAACAATAGAGAGTTCACTTCAAACGTGGGAATCTTCACAAGGTGTAAATGATGATATTCTTCTTCTTAATACTAATAATACTAATACTACTACTACTACTACTACTACTACTACTACTACTAATACTAAGCCATTACGAGGTATAATGCGTGCTGAACGAGCTTTAATGCGTTTAGAAGGTAGTTATGAACTTCTTATGCAAATTGCAAAGAAATATAATTTAGTTCGATTAGCCGTTGCTATTTTATCCTATAGACAATTTAAATATATAGAGGCATTTAAATTAAGTCTTGAATGGGATCCTACTGGAGATGTGGCATTATATTACTTTGAATGTACAATGAAAGGATATACTATTTTAGGTGATATAGAATACTCGGATTATCAATCTCGTACGGCAAAAGAACAACTTTGGAGTTATTTATTAACTATTACAGAAGACTTTAAACGATTACTTCATCTTAATGCTGAACGGGTTTTACAAGCCACTCTTTTTTCTTTACAGGATAGACCTCCCTATTCACCATGGGAACAAGATCCATCTTTAAAGCAAAAATGTATTTCCGCCTTATTTATACATCTTATTGGGATAGATTTAACAACTAGTAATATATTCAGACCATGGGAATTAGCCAGACGTGAATGGCCTTCATATGATACAGTTGTTCATCCTCTTTTTATAGGAATGACACGTATCTTATTAACAGGTACACTGGAATTGGATAATATACAGCCATTTTGTGAATATGCATGTTCTCATTTTATTTATCAATTTCAAACAGCTGAAGATGAAGGACAAAGACGAATTATACAAAGTGAGGCTGCATCTCTTTTAAGTAGTTCTATTACAAAAAATGTTGATTTTTCTTTTGCAGAAGAAGAATTACAACAACAACGTATGGCTAGAACTTTGGCAGCTTTATATTGTTCCCGAGGAAAATATGGGGAAGCAATTGATTGTTATCTTGATAAAGAAAATAATAGAGCCGATACAGGATTAGCAAAAGATGTATTTCGTATTATTAAAGAAGAAATGAGTTTTCTCTTACATGTAGGTGAAGAGGCATTATCATTTAAACTTCGGGAAGCTGTTATGCATCGTATTTCTCTTTTAGTAAGTGTAGATGCTACTTCCTTGGCTCAATTTGTATTGGAATATCTTCCAGGTAATCATGATGAAGTAATGAATATACTTCGTAATTCTGGAGAAACCTTTCTACGATATTTAGATGAATTAATTGCTAAAGGTGATCCAGCAGTGGCAAATGATGTTAAACTTCAGAATACATATATTGAATTACTTTGTGCTCATGAACCAACACGGGTATATCCATACTTGGATGCTTATGATTCTATTATTACCTACGATTTACATCTTGCTTTACAAGCAGTTAAACGATATAAAATTGCAGATGCCGCTGTGTTTCTTCTTGAAAAAACACTTATGATTGATGAAGCGATGAAAATTCTTATTGGAGCTGTAGCGGATAAACTACGCTTAGTAAGAGAAGAGGTAATAAAGTATGTAATTGCTTCTTCTTCTTCTTTTTCTGAGGAGGAGGAAGAGGAGGGAAATAATTTTACCTCTTTAGAATCACAATATTCAAAAATAATGGATAAAGAAGAAGAAAAAGAAAAAGCAAAAAGAGAAGGACTACATAATCATAATAATAATAATAATAATAATAATAATAATAATAATAGTAGTCGTAATGAAAAGTATATGTGGGAAAGTGAAAAGTCACTTCAACAAGTATTAGGAGTTGGAATGGATCTTTGTACCAAATATAATAATGATCTTAGTTCCCGATCCAGTGGAAATTGGTTTACTTTATTAGAACTCTTTACACGCCCCAGACGTCTTCTCTGTGATCGTCAACGACAACAACTCACCGTATCGTTACAATCTGAATGTGAATCTGTAGATGGTTTTGATGATGATGAAATTAATGCCTCTCTTGCATCAGATTATTCATTAACAAATACTTTATTTCCATTATTATCCAATCCTCTCTCTATACGTGGGGTTAAATATTTAGATAAAATGATTGCTATCTATACAAAGTATGTCTCACAGCTTTTAACCGAAATGATTAAAGTTTTAAATCTTTCAGAAGTTATTGGAAGAATCGTAAAGGATCATGAACGTGAACGATTTGGTCCTTTTAAACCAGTTATTGTTGATATTATGTCTTCTTTGAGTTTTGAGTTGGAAGTAAATCGATTATGTAAACTTTGTATCGATAATGATATTGTAGTTCTTGCCGATCAACTACATCAAAGTTACAAAACAGGTGTAGTTCCTCTTTCGGATACTTGCTATATTTGTAATGAAAGTCTTGTTCATACTCGTTCTGAAGAAGTAGAAACATCTGTACGGATATATGCATGTGGACATGGTTATCATGAGTCATGTGTATTAACTTTTTCTCCTGGAGCCGATTGTGTTCAATGTGAGAAGGAACGATCTGGAGGTTTACAATCTCATCTTGCATGGAAACATGGAAAGGATAACACAGTTGAAGGAAATAATAATAGTTACAGTAATAGTAATAGTAGTAATAGTACTATTAATAATAATAATAATAATAATAATAATAATAATAATATTCATAATGATAATGGCGAACGAAGCGATAGGGAAGAAGAAAGACGGATATTGCAAGAAGATGATCTTTCTTTAACAATTCGAAGATTAAAACAAACACGAGCTAAAATAGATGGGGCTCGTGAATATCAAGAGATGTTACGTGGGTTTTTGCAAACGAAACAAATTCAAACAATTTCATCTGAGTTTCCAAAGGAGTCTATAATGGGAAAAAATCTACTCGCACCTGCACCTCCTATACCTGTTAGTATTGGTGAATTCTCTGAAGAAGCATTGGACTTTAATGCTCCTTTTACTGCCATTTTAACAGATGAAGATGTACTAGAACTGTTTGGTACATCAGAAGAAAATGATGATAAGAATGAGATTGCAGATAATGGTCTACCCACATTTATAAATGGATCAAAACTTAAGATTTGATGCCGTGTGATGACTATTATGATGATAATAATAATAAGAAAAGGAAACATAAAGAGAGGATTTCTTTTTCTTTCTTCTGTGTCTTTGTATTGTTGGTGATTTCTTGGTCATGGCGCTTACCCTTCTTTTTTTTTTTTTTTTTTACTTCACGACTCACTGGGTGTGGTCCTTTTCTGTGTCATGAGTTTATAATTATCACTGGAGTTTTATTATTATTATTATTATTATTATTATTATTACCGTTATTTTCTCTCCTTCTAGTTGTACTTGGTCCACATACATTCACATACATACATACATACATATAGAAAAACCTGTCTGTGTATACTTTCGAGTTGGCTTTCTCCTCTTTTTTATTTTATTTTTTTCTTCTACTATATATATATATAAACTACTCTTAGGGAGAAAACACAACAAAACAAAAAACAAAAGGTGTTTGTGTGCATGCGATGAAACGGAGTTATGGAAGAAACTCCCCTGAAGAGGTGCGTTGCCCTCACATTGCTCTAGATGTACTCGGGCAGTGTCACAGCAGTGCCTGTGTGGAGATTGGCAACACGCGGGTGATATGCGCCGTTCACCACCCACAGCAACTCGTGGATGAATACCGTGGCAATCGTGGACGGGTTGCCTGCACTGTGCGGAGATCCACATCTGCGGCTCAACGTGGATTAAACGCTCGTGCTGTTGTCACTCCCGAAAAAGATATGGCCCTTGCCTTGGAAGGAGTGGCAGAGCAAGTGATGATGCTGGAAAAGATACCACAGTTGTTGGTGGAAGTGGTGGTGGAGATCCTCGCGGAGGATGGGGCGGTGTGGGATGCAGTCACCACAAGTATGAGTGCCGCCTTAGCACGTGGGGGATTTGAAATGTACGATATCTTTTCCGCCTGTAGTGCTGCTCTACTTCAGGATGGTGCTTTGGTAACGGACCCGGATGCGGGAGAGGAAGGGAATGCGCGGGCAACAGCCCTTGTGTGTATGATGCTTAACTCGGGAGAAGTTTGTTATCTTTTACATCGGGGTTTGTGTGAACCTGGAACGGTAACAGAACTCGTTACATCCGCGTTAAAAGGTGGTTTGTCGCGTAGATCAGAGATTTCAACACAGTTGAGCCAACAAACTACTTTGTGAAGGGGGTTCATTCGTTTTATATATATATTTATTTATTTATTGGTAACGTGAAGTCTCGTTTAAATTGAAAATGATTTTCTAAAAGAAGCGGGGTTGGGATCTATAGAAGGATTCTACACGAAGAGAAATATTTTTTTTTTTGTTCTCTCCCCTCTATCTCTATCTCTCTCTATTTTGCTTTCTTGAATTGTAACTATGTTTTTGTATGTATTTTCTTGCATTTTCTTTTTTTTTTTTTTTGTATATATATTTCTTTATTCTTTATACTAGAGTTTCCGCACAGATTTCTTTTCGGAAAGTGAAAGAGAAACAAAATGCCATTCCCTTCTTATAAAAGTATGAAACAGAGTGAATCTTCAAGTGAGATTATCATTTTCATAGGTAGTATTGTAATCTCTTTATTGATCCTCGCTGGACTCGCAGAGACAAATCTCTACGTGGTAAAAACACTTGAAGGAACGAGACATCAATTGTCACTCTGGAATGGAAAATCATGCAATATTGAAGGTTGCCTTTCTCAAACACTTCCTCCTGCTGAGTGGTGTGGAGAACGTCGTTCCTTGTATATTGCTATGCAAGTGATTTCTGTTATATCACTTGTTGGATCTTTATTTCTTTTGGCCTCTTCTGTTCTCAGTGTGGTAGCAGTTAAGACACGATGTGTGGATATCTTGTGGAGTGTTTCTGCTTTCTTAACATGGTTAATTTTAATGCTTGATTGGTCCATTATGGCAGGAATATTTCATAGTAAAGCATGCTCAAACCCTTCCTTCAGTGAAATTAATTATCAATATGGGGTTTCATTTTCTCTTTTTCTTATGTCTTGGTTGTTCCTTACAGTAATGATCATTTACTCTGTAATAGTAAGGTCTTGTGACTAACGTAGTAGAGTATTCTTCCTTTCTGGTTTCGTTTTTGTTCTTTCGTTGTAGTTGTTTTTTTTTTTTTTCGTTATTTTTTTTTTTTTTTGTATTTTGTTTCCTCATTTATGTTTTCTGAATTCAACGTATTTTTTTATTCTTCTTGTATTGTGATATATTCTTCTTGGTTTACCCTCGTCGCCCCCTTTTGATCTCCTTCTTTGATCTGATTCTGTACGTTGTTTGTTTCTGTATATAGTTTTTTTTTTTTATTTTTTTTTTTTCCTTCTCTTCCTTTTTCCTCATTCTTAGGTATTCTTTGTTCTTAGATGATTAATGGCCATCCGAAATTCGGAATCAGAAAATGTTCTTATGACTGAGGAAGCCGTTATCCGACAGTGTAAGATACATAAAGGATATTCTACTCCAGAATTAAACGAAAAACTTTATCTTCATCACCTCGGTTTTACCAAAATTTCTTCCCTAGACGCTTTTCACCAATGTACAGTTTTATATCTCAACAATAATGCGATTAACAACTTTGAGGGTATTGGCTCACTACAGAGATTGTATGCCCTTTATATAAGCAATAATGCCTTTCAAGATTGTCTTAGTCTCCCATTATTACCATCTTTACGCATTCTTGATATTTCATGCAATAGTATCGCAAGCTTAAAGGGACTTGCAAATGCTCCTGGGTTAGAAACGTTACTCGTTTCACGCAACTGTATTGAAAATCTCGAAGGATTGGAACCTCTAGAAAATCTTGTAAATCTAGATGTTTCATTAAATTTAATTTCTAAACCAGAAAATATACTACCCTTTATTTTCGCAAAAAATACACTTCGAACTTGCATATTGCATGGAAATGATTTTATAGGATTAGTCCCTTCATATAGAAAAACACTCATTTCGCGATTGCCGTCTCTACGATTTTTAGATCGTTATCCAGTGTTTCAGGATGAACGAAAATGCGCGGAAGCTTACGCGACAGGAGGTGTACCAGCAGAAAAGGCGCAGCGAGAAGAAAATCAACGAGAAGAAGAAGAAGAAAGAAAAAAACAGTTTATTTTCTTCACCGAACACCGCGCCGCGGCACAACTAGACAGAGCCGCCGAGGGCCCCACAACCGCCCGCACCACATACTTCAAAGACAACGAAACCGACGACATGATATATATCCCAAATCGTTAAAAGAAAAAAAAAAAAAAAAAGATACACCAGAAAGATTCGAAATTTTTTAAAAAGGAGAACGACCCCCTCGTTTTTTTTTTTTTTTTCCTGACTGCCGGTCCCCCGCCCGAACGGGACGAACAACAACAAAAAAAAAAAAAAAAACATCTAAAATTGTTTTTCGCCTCTTCATTTTTATTTATTTATTTTTTTTCTTTTTTTTCGTCCCTCCCGCGCGGCGCCGGGCGACAATTCAACAACAAAAAAAACTAAGGGCAAAGGAAAACAATAGGCAAGAAAAGAAAAAAAAGAAAATATAACACTAATGAGATTGAACCCGACACGATCACGGAATGCAAAAAGCATCCAACCATTTGGATACCGCGAGGGGGAGCCGCGCAGCTTTTCATGCAACAAGAGGAAGTTAGCGGAACAATAAAATTTTTTATTTTCATTTAATTAAAGAAAAGATTTAAAATCACCAGTCAGGGGTGGCGGGCTTCGACGGGAAACCGGTGTGCCTCGTCATTCCTGATGTTTTTTTTTTTTTCTTCTTCCACCCATTTATTCCTCCAGCCCCCGAAAGTGACAGAAGGGCTGGCACGAGCGGCATGCTTCGCTTCGGCGGGGCTCGAGGGGCACTTTACGTCCCGAGGCGCCGAACCTTGAGGCCTGAAATATCACGCTCAGGGACTTTGAACTTGAGAGAAAAAGAAGAGTGAGGATGAGGAAAAAAAAAGGATGAAACCCGGCAACCAATCTACGCGCGCAATGCTCGAGGCTCGTTGTCGGGTTTTGCCCTTTTCTTTTCTTTATCCCTCACCCCAAGAAGGGGGAGGAGAGAACACACAACCCAAGGCGGGCGGCCAACTTGTCAGCGTCTTGTGCGCAACAAGAAGGAGAGTGGTGGGGTGGCTCCCTGGGGTGTTTCACTTATAAAAAGTGAGTGGAGTTGGGAATGGTGGAAACCCCTTGCTTTCCCCACTTCAACGCTG